TTCGGATAGAGTAGGAAGGAAGTCACATTCATCATCATCGTCATCTTCATCATCGTCTTCATCATCATCGTCGACGCTCAGTTCGGGCATGTCGTCCAACATTTCGCAATCGTCGCTCAACTTGTCCAGTTCGGAGGGTAGCATCAACAAGGCACGTGGGCGTACCTCACATGAGCTCTACTGTATCTTCACCGATCTGAAGAGCAAGTGCATCCGCTTGCGCCGTGAACTTGAGACGACAATGGCTCAAACGCATCGCCTGACGGCTGTTAGCATGCGCCAGGAAACCGTCCAGCATCGCATGCTGCGACATGCGCAGACTTCAGAAGCATTCATTTGCAAGCACTGGGGCAATAATATGGCCCAAAAGCGGAGTTATGCAAAGTCGTGGCGATTGAAGGACTACATAGACCGGCCGACTGTACGAAAAACATAGTTTTTTTTTAAGGAGTTTTCGAAAATTGTTGAGGTTTTAATATTGGAGTGATTTCTTTTCTTTTTTATAGGATTTATTACAGATTTGTACATGTTTTTCTTGTATTGGCGTGCAGCTTTACACATTGTAGGCCAGTTTGAATGGTATTATTAAAAATTACTGTCACCATTAAATAAGCGTCAACTTTGCCCAACTTACCCAAAACTCATTTGACTTGGCATGAAGATGAGGCAAAAAGTTTTCCTCGCATCGCTGTCTTTAGTGACAACAAGGATGCAAATAGAACACACATACCTTTCACATATACAAATATCTGCACACTTCCACATTCGCGTCATGCTTCGAGCGTAAGTTTTTCATGTACATCATAATGTTGATGATGATGATGATGACAAGAGCAACAACATTTCAACAGTGTTTACGGCCGGGAACTCAAATACTAGCAGCATGAGAAAAACATGAAAAATTGCCAGCGCAAAAGTTCAGATAATGTAAATGTAAAAGTAGCCAGGACGCAACTTTTAAGCAACATTCACAACTTGCTTCATTTTGCATTTTTCTGTTCTTTCTTCATAAAACAAAAAATGAGGAAGAGAAAAACGCTGGGGCCTTAAAAGCTAGCAAAGTCAAAAGACGAATCCCGCACTTAGTTAACACAATACACTTTCTCGTCCAACGAGAGAGGCAACTGGCCAGTAACTGCAGGGACATAAAACAGAAACTTTGCATATTTCAAGCAATATCCACGAAGTAAAAGCAATGGACTGAAACAAACAAATATTTACAAGCAGTCGCTCCTTGGCAATATTCTGTTCTCATTACTGCAAAAATGAACCAATCATCAAGATTTTAGTTCAATCCTTTAATTTTAGAGTACTCAACTTGTGACTTTAAGACGGTGACAAATGATGTTGGAAGAAATCTTCCAATTTGTTTACTCTCTCTCTCTACTATTTAGTTGGGAAGCAGCGTATATAAAGTTGCACTTGAGCTTATTCAGCTAAAACAACAAGAACTTAAACTTAAATGAGTAACAAGTATTCAGTAGGAAAAGTGTAGCAGCTTTAACATATAAGTAGCTATATAGCTATGCGATCAGCAGTTTATCTACTTTTATATTTAATTTGTAATCCGAATCAAAACATACACCATTTGACCCGTCTCAAGTCCTAGCTCTTAACTCAATTTCTATATATATTTATTTTGCACACATACAAAAACCCTGCATTGGAACTGTCATGAGTTTTATTTATAATACAAACAGCTTTGTGGTATGCCATTAAAATCGGCTTTATAGCATTGGTTTTGCCAACTCTCTCAGAGGCACCATCAATTGATACGAAATGGCAATTTATTAGCTCTTTAATGGAGACCACAAACTGCAGCACTTTCCAAGTGGGTTAGCACGAAAGCTCAACACTTCAGTGCACTCAGAAGGACTTTAGCCAGCAACACTTTTCTTTAATTTGTTAAGGGCCATTCCTTGGAAGCTTGAGGCGGCTGTGAAACCCGTCCACTGGTAGAGACAGCAGAAACTCGTAATCTAAAATCAAAGTCGAAATTTACTAAAAACCGCCAAATTGTTTTGCACGTTTGCACTTAGTGTGTGTATGTGGATGTGTGGGTGTGAGTGTGAGTGTGTGTTGCTTAATGGTTACTCGTTTGTGTGTAACACAGCCCTGGCAGCAAAATGTTGGCCTTTGTTCAATACCAACAGAGAAATTTGCCTTTGTTTGCTGTACTAGTATGCCGTCCAGAGGCCGAGTCAGGATTGGGGCCGTAGTCGGGGCTCTAGCCTGGCCTGGTTCCGTTTGTTGGCCCTTTATAAAGGATTTGCCATTACAAGTTGTTTAATTAAGATTTCCTGCGGGTCTGTCGGTCGCTCGCTTCAAGTGTTCAATTCCAACCGTTGCCAACGCTGCCTTTGTCTATTGACTAACCAAATGGCGCAGCAGCAGCCAGTCGAATGAAGAACAATGAAGACAAGGTCCTTGGAATATGCGGGCTGGCCAACAATAAATATGCCATCAAAATGACAGTCAACCCTAAACGAACTAGTTATTTAGCTATGCATGCTTATGGTTTATTGAGCTTGTTCTTAGGCTGTTGCTACAACTTGATGACAGCTGCTCATCTTCAGCAAGATTAAAAGTAGAACATTTTTATTATCGAAGAGTTCTTTGTTAGTTAAATTTCACTAGATGTCCTTTAACTGGTTTATAAATGGATGTAAGTAAACTTCCGTTTTCCGTCTGTCTGTCTCCCCTTAAAGATATTTTTAAGTTCTTTTTGAGTAGTTTTACAAAAGTGGCAAATCGCTTCATTCGATAACCGAGTGAATGACGCATCAGCGAGACCATAAATAATGTCTACCAATTCACAAACAATTCAGTCCTCAATATGTAATTTCTCCTCAGGACACGTTAAGGACTTCCGTCTGAATAAATATTTAATCAATCAATTTCGACGATTTCTTTTGGCTCGTCAAATACGCACATAATCTGAATGATACATTTTTATCCAACAGTTATAATAATAATCATTCGAATAATGATGATGATGTTGCTCCTGCTTTTGAGGGATAAAACAAGTCAGACACATAAAATTGATTTGATTGAAATGTTAATTTTGTAGGAAAACCGACAAAAGAATTTTTGCAGCTGATTACCAGAAGTAGCTGGCAGATTAAGCAAATACATATAACTGGACAAGCTCTCTGAAGCTCGTTGAGAGCCTGTCTATAATCCGACTTAGTCATTTTCAATGGTCTAATGACAGTGCAGCTTTTGGGTATGTAGTTGAACGTTTCCGTTTCCCTAACTGTGAAACTCATCAGAGAATATCCGCTTTATCATTGCTCGTTTGCATCAGTTACTGTTACTGTTTCCGTTACTGTTTCAATTTCGATTTCGATTTCATTTTCGTTTTCAATTCAATTGATTTTTCAATGAAGGCGCATTTCCCTGATTCGGGCTCCCAGTTCTCGTCCGTGCGATTATCAGAAATGTTATTAGTTTTTCCTGCTGCTTTTGACAGATACTTTGAACTTGTGTTGTGTTTGATGTGTAGTCGATATTTTTTTAAAGTGTCGTATCTTTCGTTGAGTGACATTTCACAAATGACATATGTTTCAATTTGTGTTATTTTGTAACCGAATTTCATTTTCGAAGGACATTTTTCAATGTGGTTGTGGTTGTTTAAATTTACCTTCAATTGAATCAAAAATAAATTTGTTAATCCCTTCAGCTTATTCTGTGTAACTGCTGTAACATTTTTGAACTTTTATACAGTTATATACAGTCAAATATATTACTTTTGACACATATTTGTAAAGCAATTTAAGACGAACAGCTAACTGAATAACTCACTTCAATATTCATCACTTAAATAATTATTAAAATAGTTTGTGGACCTGCATAACTCATTCAATAATCTTTCCTTATTTAATATTTTAACATTAAAGCCAACGGCTTTCTGCTAAATAGTAATTGCATCTAATAAAATATGTAATCCCAATTAGCAATCCAATTATAATGAGCCAACACAGTGCTCCAATGTTTCACTCCCTTTCCCTCTTATTTAAATATGTATTTCATTATTCTCACATTTTCTTTTGCTGCTTTTCAACTGTTGCAAAGTCAACTTATCCATGAAAATTGCGGTTCTGGAGTCGGGGCGTAAATCGCGTTGTACAGCATAGCTGACGGTCATCATTAAATAAAATGACTGAGCAGCTGCCACTGTTGCAACGAGCGAAGTAGCAAAAAGAGCAACATCAAAAACAGCAACTTGAGCAACAATTGTAAATTCCAGCTTGAAAGAACTGCTATTGATAATCATATTTTGACAGCTTCTATTATTGAAATTTGTCGCCTGATAAAATTCTTTTGAAAAATAGCATTTTTGTCATGCTACAAGCTAACAATACAAATATGTATCATAATTTTACTGATAGAAATATTTTATTGTTGACTTGCACAGCTCTTACAGTAAAGTCACAAACAAAATTCAGTTGAACACTCACAACTCTACTTTATTACAAGTCCCAAGGCAGATGCATAAGCAAAGTCCTCCTCTTTGCATATATTTTGACTTATGTATGTGTTGGTTCCATGGCAAAGTTTAGCAGGAAAATGCACATGATAAACTGTTCTGGTAGTTCACAATGGCCTGCAGCAATTTTATACTTTTTGACTTCTTCAATGATAAGCTATTTTACATCCGTCAAGAGAAACTAACTGTATTGTGTTTATATCCTACAGTCAATTTCTTCTTTGTGGTTACTTAGGTTGCTTTCATGTGTTGGTATAATTTCTTTAAAAATTTGTTCAAATAAAATATTACAAACTGTTTTTGAAAATGTGGATAATTTTTAGAAAAAGTTGTTTAACAACTTATTTGGTCTGTGAAGGATGTGATTATATTAACTGAAGCTAAGACTTGGTCTAAAATTTGATGGCATTTGCCACATCCCGCAATAAGATCAATTCATTTTTAGATTATCTTTCATTTAAATTTATAATGCATTACATTAAATTTAGTTGAAGTATAGTTTAACATCAAGTTCTCCAAAATTGTTCTACCATAATTAAACATAAGAATATAAACCAAAATTAAGTAAACATAAAACTGAAATCGATCCATTCTTTAAAAGTTTGATGCCAGCTAAGGCTCATTAGTTAGCAAACGGATCCTTCTCAATGGTCTGACAGGCCACAGAGTCGCCAGTGCGTTCCACGAGCATTTTAAGTCCTGGCATGATAAACGGATCTGTTTGAGTGGATCCATTCTCGAGCAAAGCTCGCTTATATTTACTACTGTCTGCAGTATTATTGTTCGAATTCTTGAGTGTTCCTTTCAGGCTTAGAGTGATATTGCTAATGAGCTCTCCAATGCGTGCATTACGTTCGATTAATGTGTCCTGTAGAAAATTAAACTGGTTAAATTCAGGGCCAGAATCATCACTTTTTCCACACTCAGCGCGATCACGATCCTTGCTTGCATCTGCATCGGCAGTCGGCAAGGCTGTATTTCCAATAGATTTTTGAGACATTTTGAATGTATTTCAAACAGTTGCCAACTCTATAGAATTGTCAATATAATTCAAATTCAGTTCAGCAGCAATAGTTAGCTGGAAACATTAAAAGCAGAGCCTGCTTAGTACAAGCTGAACAAAATATATATATTCACAAATTTGTGAAAGTTATCATAACCCGCTTGCTGGAGTTGTGAGTACAGGGTATACGCCTCATAAAATCATAGGAAATCAATTAAGAGACATAGTTTAATACTCACAGAGGGTGGCAACGAGCCATTGTCTCAAATAAATCTCAAACATGGATAAAGAGCAGTGGCAGGAAAGTGCAGCAAACGAAATCCATTTCTATAAGTTCATGAGGCAAAAAGGCGGAAGGCGCCAACGCAGCATAAGACAAAGACCAAAAACCAAAAGACGGAAATGCAGAATTCATCTCCCATTTCGACCTACTTGAAAACAGTTTCAATTGCTGTTTGCCAACGCGTTGGTTTGCCAATGTTCCGCATACTCGTAGATATTTTTCCCTCTTTTTTGGTTGTGGGAGGGACGAGGGAATTTATTTGTCGCCTGAGCTTTAAGCCTCTCAGCGTAATAAAGCAATAAATCTACACGAGCAATACTCTGTGGATATATATTTCCTTCATCGAAATGATGCTTATATCTTTGTTGAGCTCAGCTTAAATACCGTATACCCTTAATATTTTCTATATAAGATGGATTGCATATGTCTTTTAAGTATTTGTTTTTACGTATTTTCTTCAACAAAAAAAAAAAAGATTGAATAATGTGACATTGTCTGAATGCAATAAAATTCACTTAAGCTAAACTCATAGTTCGCTGAACATAACTTGATACTTAAAGTTAATGTTGTGTCATTAAACCTTAAGCACTATGCAACACTTCCTGCTGTTCTTCGCTCAGTCAATCAATTACAATGAAAAGTCCATCATATGGCGTCTAATTGATGATCTAATTGAACGCTGCGAAAAACAGCAGACGTGATATGTGGCCTAACAGCTGTGCACATCTAACACAATAAATAACCATAATAACTACTTGTCTTATAACGAGCCTAACACGCCCACATGGCTGCATTAAAACGACATCTTCTCGAGATAAATGCGAAAAGGTCATGCGAGCATTCCACGCGGACCACTCACTTTGGATGAGGCATTGACATTTGCTTTTTACATACCCTGTACGAAAATGATAAAAGACATGATGCGCTATATTCTCCATCAAAAGTCGAATCAAATTATTTACTGTTGTGGCAAAGCAAAGTCATAGATGGAAGGTTTACAGGATATTTAAAAGCCAGCTACTCTCGACTCACGAATTCTTGTAGTTTTTTTTCATGTCTATTTCTATTGTTTTTGCGCTGGGTCTGCAGACGTCGTGACATTATCACAGAGATACATAAAAATTCCGTAGGTGAACAAGGTGAGCAAGGGCAAAAGTGGAAAAATAAAGTGAAATTATGTTGACTTATAACAACGCAAGAGGTATAAGTAATGGGCACCTGGCACCTGGCTGCTGTTTGTCTTTTGTTTTGGCAAGAAGTGAAAGTGACTTTTGGCATGTCTTTTTGTAGTTTTTACATTTGTCTTAATTATGGGAGATGGGGCAAGGAGCAAAGGACTACTCGAGTGCCACTCGGATAAGACAAAACAAGGGCCCCTTTTACCTCTCACCCCTCCTATCCAGAGTGCCACGCCTTGCGTGCGTTTGACAAGGCGTTAGAAGTCGAAAAGCTGTAGCTGAGTAAAGATAAGGACAACACTTGCTGCTTGCTTGTGGCCAAGTTGCCGGCATCCGGTTTGCTTGCTTTTTCATCCAGCTGCTGTTCATATCCTTCTCTAATTTATACGGCTGTCTGAGTGCCAGTTACGGTCTATGTATGTACGACTTTGGTCTCGTATGGAGCTCGCAAATTTGTTATTACGTTGAATTAAACTTGAAAAATGTGTTAATGGAACCGCTGGCTTCATACACTGTGAGCGCTGGGAATGAAGGCGGAGCCTTAATTAAATTCCAACAATGATTTTCGTATTTTCCTTAGAGCATTGCAAAACATTGGGCACCACATGGCGTATGCGTGCAATACATTTGTCTTGGGCTTGGCTCTTTAAATGCTTTTGTTTACACATTTAATTTGTTCGAAGCAATTGTGAATTTGTTAAATTGTGAACACTGTGGCAGCAGCTGCAGATGATGCAATTGAGTAGCAATTGTAAGCAGCAGCTGCTATCATGATATCTATTATAATACCCTTGTTATGGGATTATACAATTTATGAGGGAGTGTGTAACAAATTCAAAAATAACTCCAAATTTACAACGTGTTCTTGCTTTTTACAGACAAGATTATAAGCGGTTTCTTTAGGTATGTGGGCGTTATCTCGCCTCAAGATTTTATTACTCAGTTTATTACCAACGTTTTATTATTGAAGCATTACAAAAAAGTTTATCATTTTAGGAGTAAATAAATTATTATTATAAAAAATGCACTTTGAATCCCACTATATGATTAAGATTGCCAGCGAAATATACAGATTTTATTGCAGTGTATTCATATATCTTGATTTAGGGTAACTTATGTGCTGTTTTTTCTACTTTTTATTTTTCTCTTGCTAAACATTTGCCTTTTAAATGATTTTGGAATTTTACACGCATGCGAAATGAAATTTGCTGCATGTGGAATGTGAAGCTGCAGTTGAAGCAGATTGTTTGCATACAAATAATATATTTCTAAAAAAAAAAACCCCTTCCGTTCTTAAAGCAAAATTTGCTTTCTGATTCTGCATTCGCTTTAATAGTTAAAAAAGTTTTTCGGTAATTAAAAAAAACTGCAGATTAACGAAGATAGGCAGACAACATTTGCTTCACGTATCACTGCACAAAATGAAATATTTGTACGGTTTTGTTTGTGGCTAGCTGCTGCCAGATTATGGTTATCCTTGGCTTACATTTCTCTTCTCAAATATTTAGCAAGAAAATGCATAGATGTAGATTTAATTTACAAGCTAAGAGAGAAAAGAGCAATGTTAAGCTTAGCTTCCCACAATGTATCCAAAATTTCTTCAAATATCATTTCGAATGCTTGAAGAATGTTGAATAGTAAATCTACCCTGGAAACCTAGTCTAATTTTGCTTTATAGTAAATGCGAATAAATAACTATACTTTTATACAAAACAAACAAAGTTGTATGCATCTTTCTGCACAAGAAGAGTATTCGAAGATCAATTTTGTTGTAGTTACTCATTTCAGTTGCTTAAAGTGTCATAACTCAGTTGAGGCAGCTTTTCAGCATTCACTCAACGTACTTTCATATTTTCCCAACACATTTAATATCGAAGTATTTTCGCATCCCTTTCCCTTTTTTGTCTTTATGCCCTATTCATTCAGTGCTGCTGCTGCTCACTTCGCACCTGCTCTTTAGTTGCGTTACTTTTCCCAGAGCTGTTCGACCGCGTTGCAGGTTAAGTGAATGTTGGTTGCCCTACTCATGAGTTCGAGGCACTGAAGTGAAATGAATAAAAGTCGAGCAACAACTCGCTGGATATAAGCTATAACCGTTGTCAGCGGCTGAGCCGTTATAAATACAATCTGCTGTTGTTGTTGCTCCTGTGGCTTATTACATTTTGAAGTGCACCTGCATATTATTTATTAAATGTTGTTTAATAACAGCAATAGCTTATGCTTTATCGGGGTAATCAAGGTCACTGGCCATTTTGCAACTACCACTTTTAATCAGCCATACGAATTTTGCAGTTCTTAACAACACAGCAATCCATTTTCACACTTCCAAAAGTTTTCCATTGGGCATTCCTTTTATATCATTTGTTTTTTTGTTTTTCTTTTTTTGAGCAAGCAAATTTATACACACCGCAAAAGTTTGCGTTGCACATGGGAGAATTTGCATGCGAATTTCTATTTGCGATTCAACTTTTCCGAGTGTTGATAAAAAATAAAAAAGACTCCTAAAAAAAAAAAAAAATCCAGTTTCACCATTTAGTGTGCCATGGAGCATATGAAGAGGCATCATAATCATGATGATGATGAAAACTACGTTTGTGGAAATGAGTAAACAAAAGGCAAAGACAACAAAAGTCAACAAAAACCTAGATTTGTCTTGTGTCCATTTTTTAATACTCTAACAGACCGTATAAAAGATTAAAAAGCTTCACTTTTGATATATCAGTTTATTTACAACAATCTGAATTTCAATTGATGGAGTTTAAAATATATTGCTAAATTCCATAGTATTTTACCAAAGATAAGGTTTATTTTCTTCAGAAACTCGGATTTTGGGGAGTTTACAATATAAACTAGATATGTACTAAGGGACTGGCAACTAATTTCGATGCCACAAAATTATTATAACCTCTGTAAGGGTATTAATAGAAAGATACATGTATATTTCTTACGAAGTTTTTTTTGTTAGTTTTTCTATCATTTTCTGACATGCGTTTTGTTTGTTTTTCTCCAGTCTAGTGTCAACGCAGCTATTTTTGTTTGTTTTGCAAAGGATACAAGTTTTTCTGTAGTTTTTCGGGCAAGTTAGAATTTTTGGTAAATGTGATTCAACTTATGTCTATGGACACCAATGGGAAAATGATGTAGGAAAGAGAAGAGCTTTTGGTTTCCCTTCTTGAATCTCCTTAAGTGCTGCTGAAAGCTAAAAAGTTTGACGTTGTCGGTTGCTTTTGTGACAGTTGATTGCCCAATGCTTTTTTGTGTTCAAATTCTGAAATATGAAACAATTTTTTGTGAGGGTTAAATATTTGCACTAATAGACAAAATACCTATTTTTCAAATTCTACACCTGACTGGGCTGATATTATGAATCTCGCTTTGAAAACGAATTGCGAAGTATTTATTAACAGTTGACCTGAAATGGAACTATTCGCGCACATATAAATTAAAATGGTTATTAAATGCTTTCACATTCTCACAAGTTTCTGGCGGATTCCAATAAGTTTCTTACACAAATTTTGCAGTCTGGCATAGGCACTTAGCATAATCAGAAATTTAGGGAATTGACCAACTGTGCTGGCAGCTCATTTCGTGGCCATTAAATTAAATTGAAAGTTTGTCCAGGCAAAAAAGTTGCTGCCGACTGATGATTTATTATTATCAACGCCAAGAAAACTTTTCCATAGCCAAATGATTAAAAAAAAAAACAAAAATCCACTGAGCAAGTTCTTAAGCACAAAACTACTCGCAACGCGATGCACGCGCTTCTTTTGGCCTGTCCCAAAACTTGAGCCTTTATCATTATTTGCCGGCAAATTTCTATGTCAAATTGTGTGAACTTTTTTCCCCGACCAGTGCCTGGGACGACACTTTATCATGTCTCAGTGCTGTCGCTGACCGCCTTTCACAAATTGAAATGTGCCCGCGTCAGTCAGTCAGAGTAAATGAGGCAAAACGCAGCCGCAGTCACAGCGGGTCCCAATGCCCACAATCCTAGTTCTTACATGGTATTAAGTCGAGCAAATCCTCCCACCTCCCACCTTCCCACACCAAAATAAAAAACAACTTTTAAAAAGAATACCAGCTTTTGATGAGCATACTCTGTATACATAATATAGGTAAGCAAGGGTATATTCTGTACACATATTCATGATGAAAACCAACATCAGAAACAATTATTGTATTGTAACTAAAGAAATATATAGTTATATTGATGTATTGATATACATATATATCTGTTATATCTGTTGTCTCTTTTTACAGGACATCCGCTAGTCGAGCATGTTGTCGCTTTACTTTTATTTTTCTTAAATTTTGAGCGATGGCAGATTTTGCATTTAACTTTCGAATGTCGTTCGTTGTCCGCATTTGACTAATATTTGGCTTAAGTGATTTTTGACATCACGGCCTTTTGCCCTGCAGTATTTTAATGGCCCATGTGTACCGAAGGCTTTGTGCTTCGCTAAACCGTAATTTGAGTTTGACCTAAGGGTCAATGCGGCGTATGCGTAATTTGCCAGTGCAAATATGCAATAGGGACGAGAACGATAAGCTGCTTAGTATTTTTGTGTAATTAAGCATGATATTGAATTTAACACAGAATGTTGGCTGTGATTTCGCGAGTTATAATGCTGTACTGCTTATGATGAATACTTTATGGACACTTTAAATTTCGAAACGCTAAGAGACTTGTGTGTGTGTTTGCGTGTACAAAAAAAGCCTTGGTATGTGATTAAAAATTGACATAGTCTAATTCTCTGCGCAACCTCAACGTGAGACGCAGCTTGCCAAGTTCCTTGTCGTATTTAGCTTGACATCGATCCACATCCACGGAATGGGGCAGCGGCAGCTTCAATCTATATAAAGCTGTGCCCAGGTCCACTTCCTTTTCGTGCAGTGTAAGGGTCATTTTGTCGGCATCCATTTGTTCATCGGGCAGCGCTATCTCCAGTACGAGATCTTCACAGCTCGCCGAGGCTCCAGTGCGTTGGCCCATCTAAATGTAAAAATATGTAGCTTAGGTACATCACGCAGACTTGAAAGGGGTTCGGTGCAAACCTGTAGAAAAACATCCTCAGTGCCAACGGCCTGGCGATAGGTCATCGTGTATTCGGGGCACTTGCGTGTTTCCAAAATATCCGCATCTTCGCGCTCCTGCGCGTCTTGCCACTCCTCAAGCGTAGCGGGCTGTGACTTTGGCGGCTCTTCAAGTGGCGTGGCCACCAAATTTGGTTTTTTCTTTCCACCGGACTTGGAAGCAGCACCAGCTGCCTGGGGCCCAATGCTACCAGGTGCTGGAGTGGGAGGGGCGGATACATGAAGCGTGAGTTACGGGGATACTTCTTATTCCATTTACTTACTTTGCTTATGCACCACAAGAGATTCGCCCTCATCCTCGCTGCTGCTGCTGCACTCGATGCCGCCCCTTGTACGACGGGGGTTCAGCAATTCCTCCAGCTGTCTCAGCTGGTCGGGATTGTCAAACACCGACATTGTTCTCTCCTTTTTTATTTATTCCACTCTTTCAGAAAAGTTATTTCTCCAGCAGCTTTTATTCGTATGCACAGCTAGAGGTTTCAATGGGGAATGAGATTTTACAATAGATTGTTTTCCGAAAGCTGTTTCAAATCGATTTTCCGCCTACTTTCTATTATTATTATTTATTCCTTATTTCGTTGCTAGGCTTGGGTTAGGATACGGAAGTTACGGGAGCAGCTGTTAGTTGTTTATTTTGTTGACCAGGCAACGGGCTAGACAGGGTTGTCGAGAGACAAAATAAAAGATCCTATGTTGAAATATATTTCATAGCTAATTTTAAGGAGTATTATATAAGATAGAGCTACAAGATTTTTACTTGTAAAATCATAAAAGCCACCAAATATTTAAAATAGAATTTTTCGTTCACAGTGTATATTAATTCATAAAATGTCTGTATACAAGTACCTACAAGAATTTTTCAATTGTTATGCTATGCAAGTTGAACTTTGTTTGAAATTACTAATTGTAGAACGCGACTAACAAAAGTCATAAAAATTTCAACTGTTTTGTTCTTATCTGCAAAAATTAACTAAATGCATAATTCACTGTCAAGGATATCCCATGCCAGAGCCAACTTTTGTCCCCCATTTAGGCATTTCAATTAAAAACTTGCTGCCATTCAAGGAAACTTTTTGCCAACCGAAGCGACTCTCCCTGAAAACATTCGGAAACTAGTCGGGAAAAATGTATTTCAACAAGAGTACACAATTTTTCACTTGTCAAAAACAATTGTTGTATAAATTGTATAATTATTGTTGACCTTCATTGGCTTTTTGGGTCTGCATATTTTTTGTCTGCTCTGGCCTTGGCCGAAAATTATGAACAACAGTGAAACAACAAATTTGCATATTTCACGCCGCCGTTTGGAAAGGACTCTAATTTAATAAACAAAACGGGGTCGAGAAGTATCCGATTGGCCAAAAGTCGAAACCACATCCGCGTGTTAAGTGTAAACAACATGACTCCGACTACCAACACTGTAAGCCCTGGCCAGCATGGGGCCACAAATCCTCCGATTGCAGTTGAATGTGAAGGGAATTTCATTGTAGTTCTTTGTTGTTGTGGCTGCTACCAATGTTTTTCATCGTGTCGGATTCTACGTGTTTAATTTGCTTAACATGTACGTTCCACACAGCACACCGTAAAAAAATGACATTGACAACTGACCCAGTTGACTAGCTTTGTTTAAAATTAACATACTAATTTAATTTTATTTCCTATAAGAGTGGTTTCCCGAAATTCTTAAGATATGCGAACTACGAATAAACACAAAAGAATACAATTTTGTTAAACAAATTATTATATAAATGATATTTAATTAAATTAATTAACAAATATGATTGGTCTTATCGTATTTCCCAAATTTTATTGTTAAAATTCATTAGAACATAATTATAGTATTTGGCTTTTTGAAATCAGTTCTGCTTATTTTCAGTTCTGCATGGAAAGTCCTTCAGCTTAATCTAGCCCAACCAGCCTCATATCGTTCAGCAAGGACCGGAACTTTTTAAATCAATTTGAATGCCATGTGTGCAGTATAAACACATCACGTAACTGAGATTTAACCTTGTTTCGCACATTCAAGATGGTCTTACATCAGATGGCCCACATCAGATGGACACATCTCCTTGGGGGGCTCACTCAAAATCCCAGCAGACACACACATAGATACGAGACACTGTCCGATGCATGAATACATATGTAATTGTGATTTGGTCGCAATGAACTGCAATCTGTAAGGATGCGGGGAAAATTTCCTTTGACTGCCAGTTGGTTGGATTGTATCCGGGTACCAAACAAGGCCCAGTCCCAAAAAATTACAGTCAGATGTCAATAGCACGTAGCGGCATGCCACATGGAGGCACGCAGTGAAAGTACAAGTGAAAGTGGCGCCTCAATGCCCCCAAGAACGCAGCTGCTACAAATTTTACGTATTTCATTTTTGTTTTTGTTGCTGCTCTTTACTTTTTGTCTGCTCCTTTGAATATGATTTGTGTGCTAAAATCGCTCCAGCTGGCGTTCATTTTTTTGGTGCTTGCTTTCAACAAAATATGTATAAAACTCGCATTCTAGTTTGTCACAGGGTTGGGTGGCAGGGTGTAACATAAAATGTAATTAAGAAGGCATTAAGTATCATGCATAAATCATCGAAAACTTGCACACTTATGCTCATAGTGGCGAGTGTTGAGTGGGGCGCGGTTGAGTGGTAAGGTTCTGTGCTCTTTAACACATGTGGAGGTGTCAGATGGAGGTGCAGACTTGTATAACGCACTACATCTGATACCGAATGAATGTGGTAGACATTTTGTGCCATTAGAGACGCCCATTACTTGATGATGGAACAGCAACCAACAAAAACAATGTTTTAGAATCACAGCCAAATTCTACGTCATAGATCTGGGTCTGTTGATTGCATTTTCGGGGCGCCGCAGTGGCGCACAATTTTTTTTTTTTAATATTTTACAACATTGAGTGCACAGCGACAAAAGGAGAACTACTTCCGGCAACAAAGAATATGTTCCACAGCTCCTCTGCACTCAGTCGGTCTGATAGTACATGGATGTGTATGTTTGAAATGAATGCGCCTAGTTAAACAATTCCCACAACAACCACAGCTGAGCAACAATGATAATATACATTGTTAAAAAAAAAAGAGAAGCAGGGAAAAGAAAACCGTACACAATAAATGCCATTGCCGCACAGTTGAGCTTGTGCAGTCAAGCGATGCAAACCAGCCAAAAAATAAATAAACAGCGTAAAAATAAAGCTAAACAAGCCAAGTCAGTCGTATCAGCCATAAGACTAGACTCACCCAAACTGCAAAGGACCCACCAAACAAAAATACAATTCAAAACGCGCACGCTTATCTTTAAGCAGCGCACATTTTAAAGTCCGTTGGAGCACGAAATGGACTAAAAAAAGTACAAAATTAAAATGCTGCAGCAACACAGACTTGGCCCAAATCTATGCCGAACAGATCTGGCGACCACAGAACAGTCAGCATGCGTCCCATTGCCCATGGCCATTGCCACATTGGCCATAAACCACCAAATCGCTCAAGAGCGAAACCGAAACAGAAAGAGAGTATGCTGGACAGACAGGAAGAGAGACAGAGAGAGATAGAGAGAGAGAGAGAGAGAGAGAGAGAGATGGTAAAGAGTAAGAGTCGAATTGGAGAGCTCACAGCTGTTGGTGAGCCATATGCGGAAGCTTCTATTTGCTTTGTGATTGTTTGTAAACAAGTTGAAAGCTTTGCAACAGCTGATAGTAGTTGCATGGCACAGTGGTTTGGATATATGCAAAAATGTTATCAAATTAAAATCTTCAAAAAACAGCAAATCAAATTTTAAAAATCGGAAGAAGTTCTATTAAAAAAAAGTGCACTGGAATTTAATATATTTCCTGCACGAGAAGAGCTTATTAAATATTATTAAATAGTTAACATTAACTTGATTTCTATTTATAAAGCGAATCTTTTTATAGACTTAAGTCTATTTTTAATTGAATAAATCAAATTAATTAATTAATAATTATTAAATTAAAAATTCAAATAAAAAAAAGCAAGAAGAGAAAGTAATCCTAGGCAATTAACCTATTTATAATCGCATTTTTTTTTGCATTCGTAAGTAGAACTTCAAAGTTAGAATTAGAAAGGTCAGACATATTTTCTCACCATTCAGTGACCTTTACATCACTAAACAAAATAAATTGGGACAGCAAAAAGTGAAATGTGCTCGAATTGAAACAGAGCGTAAAAATATTTAATTTAACAACTAATGCACATTTGTGAAATGACTGGATTGGTTTGGCAATTATCTAATAAAAACAATGTATACATATTAATGCAATTATCAAAGCCAACGAACGAAAGTCAATTAAATAAACGACAGAGATCCCAATTAAGTCCAAGCTCGTGCAATTTGAACTGAAATCGGAGACGAGCTTCGGCAAATAACGCACGTAACGGTAGCAAACTGTAGAATAACTGATTGGAATACTTAAATAGATCTACATATGTATGTAGATAGTGTGGTATCTGCGAAATCGAAAGGCAGCCGATATTGAAGGGTCTACAGCTCTTTGATCACTTACCTTTCTTTTTCTCCTGGTCTTGCGTTCTGGCAACTTTCGGCGCAACTTTTCGCGCTCTGTTTGATTGGAAAATAGATCCTCAACACTGCTGCTGCTGCTGCTGATGTTGCCCTGCAGACTTTCCACATCCGAACTGCCACTCGAGTCCAAATCTAGCCTCGTCATCCCGGACTCGGCATCCCGCTGACGCAGCACACGATAGTCGCTGGCATCGCTGACCGCGCTGCTCATGAAACGGTCGTGAAATGATTTAATGATGCCGGCACTGACGCTACCAATACTGCTGCGTCCATGACCATGAATCCCAGCTGCTGCTGCACTGCGTCCGCCGTATCTGCGTCGCTTGTCCGCCCTCTGTCGTGCACTGAGCTTCGCTTCGAAGGCGGTCTCCGCCACGCTCGTTGACTGTGCACCCATCATATCGAAAGAGGCCTCACTCGTTGTAAATAATGATCATCTATTCTTGGATATCAGTTATGCAATGGGTGTTGTTGTCGTTGTTGTTGTGGCATTATGTTCATTCAGACATAGATTCGCTTTATGCACTCCTGCGTTTTCCAACTAGTACTGTTACCAATTACCAAGTATTTTGTATTTGGATCTGCCAAAGAGAAGTGGGCGAAAATTTGCATGTTCAAAATTAATAAGGAAATTGGAAAGCTGCCCCGTTGCAGTTTCTAAGTTTTTCTTTTTATTACCATGGATTGTTGACTTTATGGCCAGCACATGTGAGTGCAATATGAGAAATAGGAAGTGGCAAGTCAATGGGCTCAGAGCATGCTATTCAAAGATTAAGCAATGAAAATACCAAATATGGTACTCAACTGGCTGTCATCCTATCTATTGGCATGAGTCGCTTATGGTAAACTTAAATCAAAGCTTTTTTTAGAGCCCATAAAATGTTAAAACGAGAATTTTTTTATTAGTCTTAAGAACAATAAAAATAATGATAAGTCGAGCTTATACTTTGTGTTCTTTGCTTCTAAAATACCCTGCTGTTTTTGCGATAATGTTATCTTAGTCATTCTGTCACCATTATCATTCAAACTGAATTTCCAGTTTAAATTACTTAACTGAGCCTTTCATCCGCAGAATCGCAGGTATTTTAAACAAGAATAAATGCAGAAAATCAACAGCTGTTGCGCATTTTTGTAATTAGGACATGTATTTTTGTATTGATGGTTGACGGTTGACTCAAACGGAGCAGAAGCTGCCACATTAAATGCAAATTAACATTGCTGTATTTTTATTTCATCTTGCCGCAGGCAGGGCAGCTACCAAACGTGTTTCCACCTCGCCTTCTACTTCATCAACAGATTGTTAATTCACGTCTTACAAAAAAAAACCAAAAAAAGAAAATTAAAAATAAACGACAGCAACGGAGTTTAACATGAAAATGCAAATTGCAAGTGAAAAGCGTCGGAAAACATAAAAGCTACAAATGATTTGGAGTAAAATGGGAGTACCACTGCTGAGGCCCTTATATGTTGCAGAAGGTCAATGAATTGATAGAGGAATGTCATTGTTATGATGACAACGAATAAATCCGTAAACTAACCATATTTATTGGCACACATAATATATTATTTTAATTAATCTTTAATTAATAATTGTATTGACTTATATATCGACAAGTTATGCAAATCAGAAATATTTTTCCGTATGTTTAAAAAGCATTTACTTCTTCACATTTCATATTTCAATTTGTTATTCATATTCTTGTAAATTATGAAAAACATGAAACTAAAATTGTATTCATGCAGTTCCCTAATTCTAAAATTACTTGCCTCAGGAAATGTTCACTAAAAAGGTTATCTACCAATTTGATAGCCATATTTAACCACTATTTAAATTAATTGAAATTCTCACGGTGTATTGACGGTGTTAAGCACGATAAGCAAACGCTAAACGGACTGTGCCCAGAAGCAGTGCTCGACACACGCACACACGCACACACACACACACACACACACACACACACACACACACACACACACACACACACATAAGACAGGCAGACTGAGCGGGAGACTCTCACCAAGAGGAACCACCGCGACACCATGGCAAACTGTCACATTAGCATATTGAGAACGCAACGGGGCAACAAAAATGTGACTTGGTCTCTGTTGTTTGCCAGTCAACCGACGATGACGTTGACGTTGGCGTTAACGACGACGACGACGACGACGCTGACGTTAACGTTGACGCAGACGCAAACGCAGACGCAAATGTTGACGTCGTCGCAGCGAAAAGCAGGCGCATGCGCAACTTTGTCTTGGCCAGAAGATCGTCGGCCCGTTTGTGTTGGTATCAGTCGCATTGCAGACTTTCGCGTGTGCGGTCGAAAACAGAAATAGAGACTAACCAAAAACAGAGCACAGCACAGCACAGCACAGCACAGCAGAGACGAGACCGAAATAAAAATCAAATAAAATCAAATAAAGCGGAAAAACGAAAGCAAGATCGAAACGAAACGAAACGGATCGAATATTTTGGTATATTTGGGCGCGACTTGTTGACAGTTTGAATTAAGCGCTAAACGAGTGTGAAATGAGAGAAATAGTTCAAACAATACGAATTAGATGCATGTGATTAACATAATTAATAAGTGACGTGAACGGGGAAAGCCTGAAGCTAACACAAAAAGTACACAAACAGACACGAAAAGTCAAGAGAATATTCTAACGGGAACGTTTAGCTGCCTCATTAAGTTATCATTGCATAAAAGCAACAAGCACAAGAGCAACAACAACAACGACAACGACAACAACAATAAATCGCTGGCTAACCAGTTGAAGATGCTGATGCTCCACTTACATCACTGGCCATTAGCATTGGCCATCATTTCCTGCATTGTCGCCGTCTCAACAAGCACGACAACAACAAGAATAACAACACCAACAACACCAACAACAACAACAACAACAGTATCCTCCATACCGGGCAAATATCTGGCATATGGGAACCAGCATCAGCCAAAGAAGCTGCGTATTGCAATTGGCAACGCCAGTGCTGTAGAATCCATTGGCAATAAACCAGTATTCCGGCAAAATCCGATCAAGAATTGGTTTGGCGTCTTTAATCGCAATAATTCGCCGCCGGCACAAGACCAAACAGCGACATGTTCCTGCAGGTGGGTACTAATCAAAAAGCTGTCATGGTCATGAATGCCAACTTCCAGTTAGCCAAGTTAGTTAGTTACCCAACTACAACAACCAACTACATTGGGTGCCATTGTCACCGCATACAAATATCGCTTACAGTTAAAGATACAGATACAATCACAGATGCAGATACATTTTGTGTCTGTGTGTGTGTGTGTTGCACGCCAGCAATTTCCTTAACGCCTCTGCACATCGAATTCTTAAGGCCCACACCCTGCACAAGAACTAAACAGTTACTTCTTATCAAATATAAGTGTTGCACATGAGCTGCATAGGCGATGCCAAGGCATTTTTTAAGTGAGCCATTATGAAAGGAATTCATTCATCAAAGATACAAAAAAAAGACTCCATTTACATTTATTTATTTATTAATATAGCTTATGGTTATATAAAGATCCATCGAGTGTTTGGTAATTGCCTGGCTAATAAAACATTTCCAGTTTGTAGCTAGAAAGTAGCACAGAACAATTTTGGCTTTCTCGAGAACACTTCGTCTTTTGACTAGGAAAATTATATATCAATTTCACGCATAACACATAAAATGTTGCCAGCAGTTTTAACATTTACACACTTCGTCGAAGTACGATCTTTGGCACCAGCATGAAGAATGCTGTGTGTTCTTTTGTGAGTAGCCAACTCAGTCTCTGCCATTTGCCATCTGAGATCTTGGTCTCCGCTTCTCAGTGCATTTGAAAAGCATTCCTTAGATGCCTTCAACAAATTGCATTGCCCACGGCTGTTGGGATGCCAATGGGGAGTTGGCTGGGTCTTTCGCATTGTCAAGTACCCGTGGGTATTGATGGAGTTGAAACTGTTTGCATAAGCCCACACTTCAGGGAGTTCTGCGGAATGTGCTTTTCTCGGCACTCCTTGCTTAGCCATTTTAATGATCAACTCAATTTTGATTGATGTGCGACAAAAGTGTTGTCTAGTTTGAATTAGGTTAGGTCAGTTTCTCTGCAGATGAAGGCTTTCCAACACCTTCGAGGGACTGGATAGATTTTCACTTTTCTTTTGAAGTGTGTAGAAAAGAATACCCAAATTGTAAGTAAATCAAACTATAAGATTACATTTTTAAGATTATGAACAAAAATGTTTACTTCTTCTTGAACTTAATGGCACTATAAAGATTTAAGAGGGCAAGAATTAAATACACATATTATAACAATTCTTTGGCCACATTATTCAGATTGGATTTTAAAGCCTAAAACCTGTTCCATTTCTTGCTTAACGCATTGTGAATCTGTATTTTATATTTTATTTTTACTTTTTTCCGCGCTTAAAATGAAATGAGACTGATTTGCATAAGTTTTGATAACACTCGCTGCGTAGCTTTTTATTTAAAGTATCTCTGTATCTGAATCTGAATTCGGTCCACATACTCGTATGTACATACACGCATACTAAGATATCAGATATATATATATATATATATATTTATACTTTTAAGGTGTAGTTAAGCGCGGCTCAATGCGTCATATTTTTGTTGTTGTCAGTGTGGCAGAGGGAATGCCGCACTCTCTGAATTGGGTCGCGCATTTCATTGTCTTTGCTTTTGCTTGCCGCTGCTTTCGGGACGCCTTCGAATTTGCCTTGGCCACCATTTTGGGGCAATGACTCGATTAAATGCAAAAACAACAATCCCAAAAGACCTCTGCTTGTTGTTCTTGCTGTTTCTTTATTTTTATTTTTATATTTTTATTTTTTTTTTGTGGGCCGTCGATTGATTTGTGGCCATAAAGAAATTATTTAGTATATAAGAGTATATAGCCAGATTGAAGAGAACTCGATATGCTTCCTTTTGCAAACCGGCTCTCTCTGAATTATTTTTAAATGCAGTTGCTTTGTTTCATGAAATCTTCTTTTTTTTTGACAATTATAAACCAGTTTAGTGTAACGACCAATTTATTTATAAATAAGATGGAAAATCTGCAAAACGCTTGGGCATGCCCATAAAACACTTTGACACTTTCTTTATGACATTATTAATGAAGGCTGTTAATCTCAAGGGTTGTTGAACTTTCAGCTAATCAACGCAGATTGTCATTCAATGAACTGTGGACATGGTGGTGGACATGGAAAATTATGTTAAGCTGCAGCACAATATAAAAGAGTTTAAATCAAAATATATATATACATAAATGGGACTCAGCGTTAAAATATTGGTTTCAAGTGGAGTGTGCGCATAATTTATCATGTCGAGAATGCTTTATGAGAATAGCTTGACAGAACTTTCATTCAAGGGTCAAATGAACTATTATAAACAAAACGAAGAATCTTAATAGAATCGAGTGTGCTCTTTAATCACTTTCTTTAATTGTTTAAAAATGCCAACTTAGTGAAGAATGTCCAACTTTTTCCCAAAAGCATTAATCTGCTGAATTGAAATTTGAGCCATTTCGCAATGCTGGCTTAAATGTTAAATTTTTTTTGGTATATTTTAATTTAGCATGCATTTCATTCCTGTTGATGAAGTGGATGACAATCATTTGTTATTGAAGCATGACCACTAACGCTTTCCACTATTGCAGATGTGGGGAGCGCAACGATGAGTCGCGAATCGTTGGGGGAACAACCGCTGGCGTCAGCGAGTATCCCTGGATGGCCAGACTGAGCTACTTCAATCGATTTTACTGCGGCGGCACTCTAATCAACGATCGCTACGTGCTGACGGCGGCGCACTGCGTCAAGGGCTTCATGTGGTTCATGATCAAGGTGACCTTCGGGGAGCACGATCGATGCAACGACAAGGAGCGGCCAGAGACGCGCTTTGTGCTGCGCGCCTTCAGTCAGAAATTCAGTTTCTCTAACTTTGACAACGATATTGCGCTGCTGCGTCTCAACGATCGCGTGCCGATCACCAGCTTCATACGACCCATTTGCTTGCCACGGGTAGAGAATCGCAATGATTTGTTTGTGGGCACACGCGGCATTGCCACCGGCTGGGGCACGCTTAAGGAGGATGGCAAGCCGTCGTGTCTGCTGCAGGAGGTGGAGGTGCCGGTGCTTGACAACGACGATTGTGTGGCTCAAACAAATTATACACAAAAGATGATCACCAAGAATATGATGTGCTCGGGCTATCCGGGCGTCGGGGTACGTGACAGCTGCCAGGGAGACTCCGGTGGTCCCTTGGTGCGTATGCGTCCCGACGACAAACGCTTTGAACAGATCGGCATCGTCTCTTGGGGCAATGGATGTGCGCGACCAAATTATCCAGGTGTCTATACCAGAGTCACCAAATATCTGGACTGGATTGTGGAGAACTCGCGGGATGGCTGCTTCTGCGATGAGGATTACTAATCGAATGCTAATTCTCTTTCAGCTTAGTATTAGTTCTATAGTTGTAGTCTTATCGCTATGCATATATTTTGTACTTTTATATAAAAAGAAAACAGCACAACACAAAACACATCAACTGAATAAAGTTAAAACTGAAGTAGGTTAACCAATCGCATTTTCTCTGGGGAAAACTACACAATAAATGACTACAATCTAACTTTATAAATTCAACAGCTTACAAGCGTTACAAATTCCAATTTAATATTTCTTAAATTAAATCTTCCACACTTTAGACCATCAAGCAGTGCACTGCTTGAGCATGAAAATCGTGCACTGCTTGTGTGAATACTTTGTACACTGCTTGCTCACGTTATAACTGCTTACTTCTCTGCGCTGATATTTGAACTCACTCATCACTTAATATCAATTATTTTATTATAACTATTATTGTAAATTGTATATGTCGGAGTTAATTATATAAATATTTTCTACTTACAGCACACATTGATATATTTGCTTTAAGCTTTGCAAGCTAACTGAGACTAACTTAACAGATTTTCCATTGTGTTGCACATAGCCAGGTTGCAAGCTGTTAGCATACAAGTATGTGTACTAACTTCATAGTTATATTCACATTTGACTTTTCGGTTTCTGTGTGTGAGCACCAAAAAAACAAACAAAGTTTAGAAATACAGCAAAGACAAGCTGTAGGCAAACTGGTTTCGCTACCAAACAGCTGTAAACACAGACACACAGACTCATAGGAGAGATATCTAATGTTAATACTTAATATGAAGAGTAACAAAACACGGCCCAAAAGTCAGACGTCTACTTGGCCCAGTGTCAGGTTGAACGAGCAGAAGACAAATACAGAAAGTGCTATTTACTATGTTTGTATATGTGTACATATATGTTTGTAGGCAATTCAAGTTTGTTTGCATTTGATATTTAAAGAGCTCGTCTAATGGGACTGACTTACTGTGAGTCACAGTTGTGCCACATGCGACTTGCAAAAAGCACAGATAATTTCACTGATAAGATACTCTAATGACCGATATAAGATAATTGACTCTGCGAGACAGCCTTTTAACACTAATTGCATTTATATATACATATATATATATTTATATAGTGCATTTGTCTAAGATACTTTTGCGCACTCAACTCACTTGCGTAATAAATTCAATCTATTTGTCACACCGAAGATTCGCGCATCTGTAAGATACATTCGTGTACTCTCGACTGAATCGGCTGCTGTTGCATGTATTGACGTCTTCCAGGTCTCTTGGCCTTTTCACGCAGCTTGCGGCAATGTTGGCAACGTTTTACAATTTTCGTTCGCTTTCAACACGGTGCTTTTTCTTAGTTTTTTTATTCTTCTTGCACTCTTCTCGCTGCCAGCAGCTGTTGTTTACCGTTTGCCGCTCGCGCGCTCACTGAAAACAAAAAAAGTCGCTATGCAGTGATCGCTCCCAGAGATTGGATTCGTCGGAGAATCGTCTCAGCTGATGAGTTTGCACTTGTATTTGTAGTTGTTGCCACAAGTTATTGGAGTTTCGCTCGAGAGAGATGACAAAACAGCAACTCTCCTCTCCGGCAAGCTGAGTAGGCCTTGTTGGTATAGGTTTTAGTTAGTCTATATCCAGTTCGAAATATTCATACGTAGTCACGTAATAAATCGAACAAAATCTAAAATATTATAGTTACTGTAATCATGTCTTCGCCAACAAAAGAGTCTGCAGCTGGCGAAATGATGAAACCAGAACTCGGTAAGGAGGAACAGCAGTCAGATATTTTTGGTGATATTGACAAACGCTTGAGTTTCCTGCTAGAGCGGGCCAATAAGCTGGAGCATACGTTGAATCAACTACATGAAAACCAACATTACGGTGATGGTCAGGATCTTGATATGGAGCTGAGCGAAGAAGTTGAAAATAAGAATGCAATAGAACCTGATATTGATATTATTGAATTAGATGATTTAAATCCATACACTATAAAAAATGGTGAAGCTGATGATAATGTTTCGGCTGACAATTTAGAGACTGTTAATTTAGACCTACACGATAATTAATCTTAAAACAAATTAACCTAACATGACGCAGCACAGCGCTACAAATTATTTAAAATACCTGCCACGAAATGTAACTTACACACAGCACACGAGCAAGAGATAAGAAAGCTAAATGTATTAATAAATTAGACTCATATGTGCTGCTGGAAATATAAATACATTAGAAATGCACAATAGTTTCAGTTAACCATTTTACGATTTAAAGCGCTTGTGGCGCCATCTACCAGCAGGCTGTGATACCTAAATAAAGACTGCTTGACCCTGCTTGTCACAGCTTTTAGGATTGTTGCACAGTTGGCCGCACTGCTTGACTTATCGACTGATTTCTATTATGGTCCACCATACAAAGTAGTCAGATACAAACCAGCAAAAGCATACATATCACTGTAGGTCTATCAAAAATTATTACAGCGCATAAGATGTCTGTTTAAAAGCTGTTCAATCTGCAGTTTCTGGTCTTTTTGTTATGGCAGTAGGCTTTATGCTAAACTAATAGATATTCTGTTTAATTCGTTTTTGCTTAATTGTGTGATAATGTTCGACAAGCTCAACGACGACTGCTGGCTAAAAATTCTAAAATATGTCGACCTACAGGAGCAACTATCGCTGGCGCAGATTTCAAACCGGATGAGTTTTGTGGTCCGATACCACTGGAAACAACTAACAAAGGCTTGTTTGAACAATGAAGTTCTGCAAGTTTTCGAGCAGCAGCCAGACGTAATGCACGATTTCCTAGAGTCCGCCAGTGGATCGCTGCAACATTTGGTGCTGAAAGAAGGCACAATGGGCCTTTTGGAGTCATGGAAATCTTATAGTTTTCCCAAATTGGCTACACTCCACTGTGACTATCGCTTCTGTAATACGGAGCAGGCCGATAAGAACACTTTGCTGCTGACGGCACTGTTTCCACATGTGACTAACCTATTGCTACTGAGCAGCACCAGTGGTCGCCATCTGTGGAACTGGTATGACATGCATGAGTTGGACTTGATGTGCTGCGATTCACTTGATACGTCAGTGTTCGATCAGGTTCTTAGGTCAATCTCATTACGCAAACTTTCGCTGCTCCTTTGTGGGCATAGTGTTAATATAAGCGAGAGTATTTTCTCCATATTGCACTGCGCCAATCTAGAAGAGCTTATCATCGATGATCACCACTTGCTGAGCACTTCTTTCTTTCTGCCGAAGTTACTGCAATTGCCCAGGCTCCGGCGTTTCTCCTTTAACAGCCGAAATTTTTACGAGACCTTGCTGCAAACAGTGATCAAAGCTAGGCCTGGCCAGGTCAAATCGTTGCTCTTTAACGATGCCTTCTGGAACAGCACTAACATGAGCGAAACCATTCAGTGCATGTCCAATCTGCGTTGTCTGGCACTCCAGTACGATGATATTGTGTCCAGGGACCTGTTCACGATATGTGCAATGTTGCCGCGTTTGGAGGAGCTGCATTTGATGAATATGCGCTCATTGCCCATGCCCACACAGCTTTGGAACGCTATAGCCGTATGCAAGTCCTTAAAAGTTCTCAATTTATCCGGCTGTCAGTTAGATGAACAGTTTTTGGATCTTAGTCCTGCCGACTTGGACATGAAACTCTGCCACCAGAGTGAAAGCTCTCCCATAACTCTTCATGTCCACAAAACCAACATCGAAAACAGCCATGAGAAGGTAAAGAAATTTCTGTCGATTAACTTAACTTTTAAACAATTTTGTTTATGTCATTTTAGATCTGCGCTGCTTTTAATCATCCAAATTTAAGAATCTCCTTTAAGGCAGTCGATTTAATTGTGTGGAGTTCGCGATTTGTAGAAATTGAATTTTTCCCGTCTATAAATTAAGATACAAATGTATTGCGTGTGGATAATAGAAAATAAAAAATAAATATTTAGTCATTTGTTGTTTTTCATTGTTACTTGCTGTATTTGTTTTTAATACATACACATAAAAATAATACAATTATCAAGAATTATAAAAAATCAAGAATAAATATACATAAATATTTACGTTTTATCTGCTTAGACTAAAAATGCGCCTGTTAGAAACCCAATTTGTTTCTAGATGCGTCCAAGGACGTACGAATACAATATGTATATATAATATTATATTTGTCATAAATATATATTATAATATAATAAAATATTATTGTATTTATGTTTGATTGGGACTTTGACGCATCTGATTATTATCGATTTGGAAAGGAGGAAATGTGAACTAAGTTACTAAATTACATTTCAGTACAGTTAGAAATTAGTTATTGCTGCTTATGATTGTTGTTCTTGTTCTTCTTGTTGTTGTTGTTTGTTATTAAACGTTAACGTTTTAAATATGCTGGCAACTTTTACGTATGTATATGCACGTGTGTATATAGTATATGTATGTATAAATATAATACAAATATAAGTTTGCTTAGTTTACGTTTCTAAAATGATTATAGTTAATTTTTGCTAAACGATCACAATGAACAGGCACTCACACAGGCACTCACAAAACGCATTCAATCATACTCATACACGCATTCATGCACTTACAGTTTACAATTTCGCACTTACGACTTAGGGCGCTGGACTTAACTTAATTATAATGTGAGAGGAAGAAGGGGGCTCGTTACGTATTCCTTTCAATATACAATGATGGGCGACAGTTTCAGTATGGTGTCTATATCGTAGAATCGATCGATTGATGCTTTTTGAAAGGGTTGGCCATAACTGTGGTTCTCTATATTTTCTCATTGCTTTTTCATTGCTTTGACAAAAGTTTTTATAAAATTTTGGACTTGCATTTTCGTATATAAGAAGTTTCTAATAACATTTTTGTTTCATGGATGAATGACTGAGAGGTGTGGGCGTGCAGCGGACATGGGGGCGTGATATGTTCCACCTCGGCTGCACTTGTTCGCTAGCTCGCTTCGTTTTCTTCGTTGTGGGCAGCGTATTGAGTAATCACAGCAAATCGGCGCAGACGCCACCGAACCACGCCATATACAGTGGCAGCAAATAGACGACCAGAGCGCGACGCAGCGTCATCTTCTCCGGTGCGTTCGAGGCACGCGTGGCGCCATCCGTTGATGAGTTGCGGACGCTGCCATCATCATCCTCCTCGTCATCGTCATCGTCGCCACCGCGAGGCTCATCCAGATCATTATGATCGTGTGTCACATGCGTGGTATGAACCAGCGGATTCTTGTCATCCACATTGGGCCGCGACGTGTGCGTGGTAACGGCAGGATGGGTATCTTCATCATCATCATTCTCGGCGTCAACACGCACCGACGGATGGTCCACGTCTGGCTTGTGGCTGGGATCAAACGGACCCAAACCGGAGCCCTCGTCATCGTCCTCATCATCCTCGGATCCCGAGCCGGAGCCAGCACCGCTGCCCATATAGGGTTCCTCTGCAAGTCATAAAAGTTTATTAGTAAATCTAATCGCTAACTGCTCAAATCCACACAGTTGACACATACCTTGCTCGTTCCAGTCGACATCCTGGCCATTGTAGGCATTACGCAGATGATTGATAGCATTCTTCAGATGAAACAGCTGCGTGGACATCTGAGCCGTTTGGCGTGTGCTCGCTGGATTGCCGCTAAATTCCGGATTCGAGCCATGCTCCGTCGTCACCGAGTGCATATATCTGCGACAAATGATCAAGATTAGTCTATGCAGTCTATGGATGTACGCTGCTTTAATATTCACCTGTCGATAGTGTGTCCATTCCAGCACATGCCATCCACATCGGTGGAGGCAGCAATGTCCTCGTTGCTGCATATCGAATGCGGCAGATTCGACCAGAACTTCTTGTAGTCCTTCACACGCTGCCGGATGTCGCGCACGATCTTGTCTAGAATTGGCTCTCTGCTGCCGCCATTGCTGTCGCCATCGTCGTCGTCGTTGTCATTGCGATTGTTCTGCTGCTGTTGCTGCTTGCGTCGCTGCTGCTTGCGGCGCTGCTGTTGACGTTTATTGCCTCCACCACCGCCACCACCGCCACCATTGCCATTGCCGGAGTTACCATTTGCCACTCCCTGCTCCTGTGACTGCTGCGCGGACGAGTCCTGTTGGCCTGGCTCGGCAGCACGTCGCTCGCGCAACACAATTGCCTCGTCCAGTGTGGCATCAATGTCCAGCGTGTCAGTCTCCGGAGTGCTTTCCGCACGCAGTTCATGAACAGCGGCAGCAGATGGTGCCGGCAATAGTTTTGGATTAATGGAACGCTTGGCGCGTCTCAAAGTGGGTCTGCCACAGCCCTGAAACACGCGATTGGTAATATCCTGACCAGAGTCCTGCGAATATAAAGAGATGCGTGAAAACGTTAGAAATTGCCATAAATTGCAATTAGAACAGGATATAGAGTTATAAATTGTCAATTTTGACTACAGTGAACTTTTATACAATGATAATCGCTATATTATTAATATAGGGATTATATGGGGGTTCTCTGTTCCCGACTGTCTAAGAGCCACAAAGCAAACTAAGCCAAAGGTTTTTGTCGCCTTAGATTATTTTTAATTTGCTTTGCTCATCGTCGAGGCAAAGTCATTTCATTGACATTGTTCAAAATTCTCCAAGTGCATTGTTCAACTGCAATATAAAAGCTTTCTACAAACTATTTATAGGACTGTATTATAACAAGATAAGCCAAAGGCTTGATTTAAACAGCTACATTGCCCTGCATACAATGTGAGCGTGTGTAGACCCCAGTCCGATAAATTGTTGGGCTGTTGTGTGTGCCTTATCAGCGACTGTTTATCTGCAGGCCTTAATTGTTGACACGATGGCGATGACTACCTCAAGTTGAGCATGGAATAGACAAACAGTTGCGACTACTATTTACAGTTAAGGGTCATATTGGGGTTAGGCTTAGGTAGCGCTCTTCAAAGCGACCCGCCCAACATGTTCATAGCTGTGGTGGGCCTATCCCAACTATTAAGCGCAACTAAGTAACTGTAATCGCTGGACTAAGAGCTGTGTTTGCAAATCTCTGCAAAAGTAAAAAATATAATTCGCCAAAAGTCAAGAAACTAATAAGAATTAAATTAAAAACTATTTGGCTTTCGCCTGTTGGCCTTTTATGAGGCCGACACAGAAAACAACGCAAAATAAACACATTAAAAGCAGAATGCCGCACTATGTGTATAATAGCAACAGCAACAACACAGAAAATAAATATACACACATACACACACGCACACATGGAACAACAAACAAAGTAAAAATGTATAAATTTTAAATGGAAATATAAATTAAATTCATATGGGAACCAAATGTTGTGCAAATAAATCGTTAAAATGGCAAACAAAACACATGAATCCAAATAGTAAAATGGAATCAGTGACGCTGATGGTGAGGGTCGAGAGGGGAAGGGGAAGGGCCTTGAAATATTGCAGTAATCAAAATTCAATAACTTATGACCATTATTCATGTGTAAATAATTTTGGGTATTTCATGCATAATATCTATATAAATTTCTATATTTAATGGCAATGTTCAATAATGAAACTTCTGGTTATTACTCAAATTTATGGAACGTTCTAATAGATACATATTGAATAGATAAAGCTCGACAACAAGATGCTCGAAAGCAGCATGAGAAATGTTATTCTCGAATATTAAATGAAATTTAAACGAAAACTTGTCCACAACTGCCAGTATTTAGCGGTTTTCCCATACTTATCTGTATATGAATTTGTTTTTATTTTTTTTGAGTTTATGATCGGGTCAGTCCGCTATTCAAATGAGTAGACTGACCCGACCATCGGCCACGGCGACAACTTTATGAGATAATTTATAAATTACAATCAATGGTTAGCCATAAAAAATAAACAAAAAAGCAGCAGCTGTTTGCCAAACGAGTTAAGCTTCACAAATAAACCGAGAGCATGCTCAACTACCAGTTATCCCGTACTCTGCACGAAATTAACCCAAACAACATTAGTCAGAGAATTTTAATAAGTCGAATACGATTGTTGCTTATTTCTACAAATTAGACATTCAAAAAGAAGATGCTCTAATACATATAAATACATATTGAATTGAAAGATTAGTTTGAGAAACCCCAGCTGCCTAACGTATTTGGTATATCCAGCTTTTATGGGACCTGTTATTGAATGAAGAGGAAGCCCACGCACCTGGAAGTTCATAATTGCCTCCGAGATTTTGATATTGATTGGCTCCACAACCATCACAATGTTGAATGAGCCGAGCATGCGTTCGGCCACCTTATCCATGGCCATGGCAAAGTTCTCCCATTCGGTATCGAACTCATGCAGATAGTGTAGACAACCCTTTATCACATTCACACAGTAGTTGGTGCACGGCTTTTCCGTATACCCTTTGCAGGCGCCACAGTGTTGCATCTTGGTCAATGCTCCCGTGCAGTCCGGATTGAGTCGAATCTGAAGTTGGTTAGATGAGATTTAGCTGGATATTTGATGATGGTTAAAAGGTGATTATTCACTTACAGTTAGTATGCGCTTGGAGACCTCGGCGGCAGTGGCCAGTGCCTGTCCGTAGGTGCGTGTGGCGACAAAGGATCGCTTGATTTGCACTGACAGCTTGTCGGGCACATCGCCGAACGGCTTCAGCTCCTTCATGTGCTCGCTGACGCACTGCATGTATCTGGAAAGATGCAAATGAGATATGTTGGCAAAATATTTGCAGAAATTGGCGTTGGGCGGAAATAGGTTCATGTAAATGGCAATGACCCGCAGCAACCCCCCTCACCATCGCCCCCAACCTGATAACGATCTAAGCCTTTGTCTGCACAGATTTTTTATGTGGAAAAAAAACGAATAAAAATAGTTGGCTGACTGACTCCACTGCTCCACTGCTTGCCATGTGCTGCATGTTGCACGTTTCATGACAGCTGCTGCTGCATTTGTATGGCTGCTTCGACTTGCAGCTGCCTTGTTGTGGGCTCAACTCCCCACTGCGAGAGACCTCGACAGTTGGTCAACAGGCGTGGAATGGACCAAACAACCGTCCGCTGCTCAAGCAACCAATGTCAAGTCTCCGGTCTGCTATTGTCGCCTCTTATTGCGGCAATTTAGCTCAACCATTTAGAAATTGCACAAAGGGTGAGCTTAGAGAGAGTTATGCAGCTGCTTAGCTGAGTGCAGTGACAAAGTGGGATGCCATAGCTGCTCTGGAGTGGATTGGTGGAGTAAACCAGTGAACTGGTGATTTAAGAGCTTTAATTACAAACAAACAGGAATTGTATATAACAAAGTAAGAAATACAACTGAGATAAAAACACAACAATCTGCGAGAATTACAATAAAGTACTCTTTAAATTCGATAAATCATATTTAGTAGCTTTACCAATAAGGATTATAAATGCAAAAATGGAATTGTGTTTTAAGAACAGTTTGCCAATCTATTATAACGTTTGTCCTGCTCTTTAATATTTGACTAGGTTCATTTAACAACGTTTCTATATTTGATTTTGGTTAAAGGGTCTCTCGGTTCATAGGCCTCTGCAAATAAATAAGTAACAAGTATTTGTTGTATTAAACACTCGATTCACTTCACAGAGCAGTGCTGCAACCAATTCGCACACAGCCTGTGTCCAGTCGACTGGTAAAGCAACCCCTACATTAAATGCAGCACACTCGACAATGTGGCTCTAGTTTGGCCAGAGAGTAGGGGGCAGGGGGAAGTGGGGCAGTGGCGACCAACCGCATACAGCAAAGAACAAACAACAAATAACAAGCAGCAAGTGCCGGCAATTACGCGTCGGCCTCATCGTCGTCATCGTCGTCGTCGTCGTCCATGGCAATATAAACGGACAACGTGCCAAAGCACGTACGACAAACTAAAGCGATGACAATAAAAACGAATCGCAGAGGACGACGAGAGAGGAGGGGACCAGTTGGCAATTGGAAAGCGCGTGGGTAACACGAGCCGTGTCGAGGATGGGGACGCTGCTGCCAGAGCAATGGGCTACAGCTGTAGCTATTCCTGAATCAGTAGCCAAAGTTGTCGCTAAAGATGAAGCTGAGGCTGAAGCTGAACCTGAAGCCAAAAACATTTGGCAAAGGGGAACCGGGAACGGGAACGGTTCGTCTATGGGGCAATGAGCCAAGTGGGCGCAATTTGGCATACAGTGCTGGAAATGCGACCAGCTGGCACAGGAACTGCCTCAAAGTGGGATTACACAATGTGGAGGTGGTAGCTGGCCGTATATCCACATTATGATTACGATTGGTAACATCGTCAGCATAGAGTTACTTGATTAGCTGGCCTGACTTGATTATTGGGTGTGGGTTGAGAAAAGTGGTTAGCGAAGACGAAGAATCCCACGACAAGTTCTTAATGGATCTAATCGCAGCAACTACTTTTCGACTTGATATAAAAATTGTAGACATGCTGGTTATTCCTTTGAATCAGTCTAAGCTGCTTGCTGCTTGTTTACTTTATTTGAATTGGCCATGCTTGCAAATATTCCTGTTGGGTTTAGATTCCAATTTAAATTGCTTACTTATATGTTTGCTGATTTCACGCCTTGTTATTGTCATCATTAGCATTTATAACTCGATCGACCATAAACTTGGTAAATTTAAAAGAAATCAGCATTTATGACATATAAAATCAAATTTATGGTCTCTTAAGAGCATTAAGTGTTCGTCGTTTTTTGGATGGCAACCGTTTTGCACATTTCCTAGTTAAGCGTTTCAACCGCAGCCAGGCAAACAAAAGGGCAACTCAACCGATAGACTGAAATGGCACACCATAAGAGTCAATCCGGTAACCCGGTAACACAGCAATGAATACAAACATTCGTCAAAGCATTTCAATAGTCTTGGGCTTGAGCGAGTCATTCTCAGTTAGTCAGTCGCCAGTCGTCAGTCAAGCGTTGACGCTCGACACTTTGCGGTTTCACACGTCTGTAGTTCCAAATCTGCTCCGACTGCACTAGCGTATACAAAGGGATGTGGGGGAAGAGGATAGGGGTAGCTGCTATTCGATTACTATTATGTTTGAGTAACATGTGTACTCACTTTTCGTCAAAGGCATACTGCGCATTGAGAACGGTGAACATCTTTTGATAGAGCGTGCTAAAGAACTTGTCCATCACATCGATCAGATCGACCCGACCCCGGGCATAGTAGTTCTCCAGTTCATTGAATAGATCGGAAAAGACATACGAGTGCTGCTGATAGATGACGCCATATGTACGCATGAACATCGTATGAAACTGTCCCTTCGATTCCAGCAGCAATTTGCGAAAAATATCTGTAAAGAGAAAATTTAAGAAAATCTCAATTGGAGTTGTTTAATTGAAATGAGCCACATCCGCTAAATGTTTCCAGATGCAATGCGTAAATAAATCTATGGCAATTACTATAGTCGCATCCGCTGCACAAAATAAATCTCAACATCCGCATTTGTCGCCTGCTACTTGACATAGCCACTATCTCTTTCTATCAGTCCCACTCTCTCTTTCTCTATCTCTATTTGTGTAACCCGAGGCCCGCATGATCTTTTGGGCAACACAACTAGGCCACTTGACGCCCGCAAATAGTTACAAATCTGTAAACTGTGTGATCGATAATCTATGAGCCATGCAACTGGCATCGGATTTGGCTGACAGCTTCAAGTGGCTGTTGAGATATATTACTGGTTGGTTTGTTTTTTATTTTTGTTTGAGTCGAACTTACCATTAAATTTGGTTGCCTTGCTGCCCAGGAGTCCGGACATTTTTGTTATCTGCTCCTTGGTGTGCCATTCCAACTGTTGGCGGGACTGCGCCGCCATTCGTGTCTCCATGTTGTAGGTGCAACATGTGCCCACCGATGGAGATTCACAGTAGCGTAGCACGCGTTCTGTAATACCAACAAAAGGAAGGGGAAATTGTATGAGTAATTGACTAGACGTAAGAATATAAATAGCGTGAACTGATAGCTAAAAAGATATACTAATCATAGAGTTTCTAATAATGGCTTTAAGAAGACCATGTGATTATATGTTAACAAAAGAAACTATTTTTCAAATAGATCATTAATTATTTAAGATTAAAAACTTTTTAATGTCCACACAAAGATCGAAACTTCTGGACAAGGATTGAAGTTCCTAAACTCTAAACTTCTAAGCAGCGGAAATCATTAGCTGGCAATACAAGTTACAAATTGTGAAACTAGCTCAAGTCACACATAATTAGATGAATAAATCAAAGCTAGGTAAATGCTGTCATATGATTCATTGGAGAAGCGAACCTGATGGCTGATAGTTAGAGACAACTTGAACCATATTGGGACCACCATAAAGCAGCTTCTGTTCTGTTCTGTTTGTTGATTAGAGCCCGCATCAGCTGTCACAAATATTTCGATGCCAGTTGTATTTGCTTTAGCATTAGAGAGCGCGACTGCTGGAAGCGTTTCATTTGTTTGCTGGTCAACTAAACTAACCAGAATTTACAACGCGTACAAATATAGCAGCCAGCAGCAGCAGCAGCAACAGCACCAGCTCATGATGGTTCTAAGAACTGGAACTTGCCACTGCCACTTGCCCACTTGCCCACTTGACATGGTAACCAAAAACCCTATGAAACCAAAGGCTGGTCTGGTCTGCAAAACCAGCTAACTGCATTCCCTGGTATTTATATCTTCTATTTTTTTCTATTTATTTATTTATTTGTTTTCTCATTCGTTCAGTGGAAAAGCAAACGATGCGTTTGCTACCGCCATAACAGCATAACGAGTAACCATAACCGTAACCGTAACCCGAACCGACGGATACGGGCGTGGCATGGCCCTCAATAGGCCTGAACAAGTTGCCAACATTCTCGCTGGTTTTTCCCTCCTCCCTGGGTATATTTACGCAAACATTTAACACGTTCAATCGGCGCCCAGGTAGTCGACGAGAAAACAATTTACTGGCGAGAAATATTATGCATTAGTTCCATGCAACGATGCAACGATGCAACGATTGTGCATTGTTCATTGTACACAACTCCCTCCCCGTCTGCCCCGCTTGCCGACCAACTGAAAACGAACATCCATCTAGCAATGGTGTCTAGCATTTCTTTTGGGTATTTTATAGCGAGAATTTTTTGTTTATTTAGACAATTCTCATGAATGGATGAATTGAGATGAGCCTTGCACACAGTCCAAAAGTTCAACACTAATTGAAAGCAAACAAGTTGAAGTTGAATATCGTTTTTGTTTTGCCCGTTACTCTTTCTGCGGGGAACTACTATTGGCCTGAGATCACATATGTAAGAGCTTAAAGTCTACATATTTGAAATACATAATTTATGTAGGCGCCTTGTCGATTGAATATGATTAGCATAACATATAGCTGCCGTATGACAAATAGCTTAGTTCGCTGTAAACGTGATAAAAATTTTAATATGTGAAAATAACGAATCGAAAAACAAACTTTCACAGTTAACAAATTGTATTAATTTCTCAGCAAGGGTGTTCAATGTTCGTTCTTCTCTTCTGATACCCGATATTCCCAAGTATATATTTATCTATATCCCATGCCCCTTTGTATGTGTAGCTGCATACTTGAGTCGAGCGGGCAACATCAATTTTTGCTGCCCAGTTAAATGCAGTACATCTATACACAGTGCATAGAGAAATGTATTTTGTATAATGTGTATAATGTGTGTGTGTGTTTGTGTATTTTGTTTATTTCTAATATAAATTTAGCTACTTTCGTGCACATTTTGTAAACAACATTTTATATTCCGTTGCGTTTCTCTGGGCAACTCAATGTTGTAGACGTCTTTTCTTTTTTTGGAAGCTCTGCCGGTTTTATTGTCTGTACTAATTGTTATGTTGCACAAGATATGAATTAAGTGTAGCATGTACAACAAATGTACAGCAACTCAAAGGGTGGCAAGACGAGGAGGCGTTGTGGTGAAGCCTTTTGCTTATCTAAATTGGCTCGTTACCAACGGCAACAATTGCGCTCGTTGTGGATTTTCCTTATTTGTATGTCTGTCTGTCTGTCTGTCAGTCGGTCTGAGAGTGTCTGTGACTGGCATGGATAATAATGTTTAGCTAGCTTTGCGTTTGCCATCCAAGTTAATTGAATTCTAGTTGATGAAGTGCCCAAGACTATGGAGAATTAAATGATGCTTTCAGCAAATCCTTTAGCTGATATCAGCTGTCACTAAAAACAAAAAAGAAAACAGGAAAAAAAAAAACCAACCACAAATTCCACACTGAATCGATAAAGTCTTGCTGAAATCTATGTGAAAATAACATTAGGGTCTTAAAGTAATATCGCTGGGCCATTGGTTGCCATTTTTTATGAATTGCTGCATAATTTCTCCACAGACAACAATAGAAGGGGGATGTGCGTAACAAATGTGGCCAGGAGGCGGCAGGAAGGTGTCATGAACATAATAAATGACCTTAACTTACCGATATGGCTGTTTTTTGTTTTGTTTTTCTTTTTTTTTTCGCTGACTCTTCGCAAAAGCACCCTGTTGTCTAATAGAAAATTTCAGGCAGGGCTTGGGCTACAGGGTTTTGATAAAAAGTAAGCTGGCAAAGCAATTTCTCTAACACCAAAACCACCCACCCACCACCCCCTGGCATAATAATAATACTGGCAGAACCTGGGTCACATGTTGTTGTTGGTTCTACACACGCTATTTACTTAGTTGCCGGGGTGCGTTATGCCCATACTATGTCAGACCAAAGTGAAAGCAGTAGAGCGAAATTCATTTCGAATGATTTACTGTAACGATCAACAAACGACTCCTGCGGCGACCATAGACCAACCAGCCAGTCAACCAACCAAGCCAACCAACCAACCCCTAAGGCAAGCTACAACGACGACGACGGGGGGAAAAACGCCACCCACCATCATAATGTTAAAAGGGTGCGAAACTTCAGATACGCTTCTCTACTACGACTTGAATAGATAACAGTGAGGGGAGAGCGTTTGATGGGCGGTCAGAGTGTCTAGCAGGTGTCTGCTGTTAGTCCCAAGTTGACTTCAAGTTTGACGCTGTCCCACACAAATTTTTGGGTACACAAACCCCTCGGAAAATCCGTAACAGCCCTTAGCAGCTGCTCAATTGGATGCTTGGCACTGAAGTGCAACAAGAAAACACTTTTGCTCAAAAAAGAGGAAAGCAAGCAATGGGATAAAGTGGCAAGTTTGTGTTTACAATTTGTTGAGATTTGGTGGTTTACAATAATATAATTCGCAGTCATTGCAATTAATAACAGCATATTAGTCATGAATCTATCGCTGATTATGACAACTATTGCTCAAGAAACCCTTTATTAAACATAGATGTAGTTGTTATTGATTAAATTGTTTGAAAGCATTAGTTAATCCCCAGTCTGTGCCACTTTCTGTTGCACAAAAGTTTACCCAAATCCTTTTCCCAAATGCTGCGTTTCCAACTAGTCAAAGTTATCCTATTCAGCCACTTCAGAACTCCACTCTCACTCTTTCTCCCCCTGCACTTCACTTGGAGATAAAAAGCGCAAACAGTTTGCGAGTGAAATTCCAAACAAACAAACAAAGAAAAGCAGCAGCAGCAGCAGCAGCAAGAACAACAACAAATGTTGCGAGACAAAAGCAGACGCCACCACCCCAAAAACACCCAAAAAGGGAAACCCAAAAAGTTTCCCCGTCGAGAGATTGCTGCCAAAACTTTACTTTTGAGTTGAGTTTCAATGGCCACTATGCAGTGCAGAACGATGCAAAGAGTAGATAGGCAGACTGGCAGGGAGGGAGAGAGAGAGAGAGGGAGACACCGGCAGAGAGAGAAAGCTGATAAAATTCACTCAACGCTTCGTCCTTTTTGGCTTGGCACAAAAATGCGACGCGGCAGCTTTAACAGGCGCTCAGCAAACAGCAGCTGGCGGCAACTGTTGCACAGTTCAAAAGGGAACTCTGAATAGCCAGACAGCCGGCATGCCACACAGTGAGAGAAATTCAAATAGTCACAGAGAGAGAGAGAATGAGAAAGATAGTGAGAGCATATGCGAGAGAGCGCAACTCATATAAAGGGGTCGTTGCATGTATGGATGGATATATGAAACCAAGCTTTCACTTTCAACAGGGTTGCAGTTTGTAGCGTTTTCTGATTTTGTCTGCAGCGGTTGCCGTGTGGGGGTTTGCTGTGTTAGTTGATAGTGCGGCGTGCCGACAAAAATGGTTGACGCACACGAGCAAGCCTCCCCCCACCAAGAGAAAATAAACACACAGTTGCCGACCCCGATGTCTGGCATGGAAATTGCATTAAGTGAACTTTTAACCCAGACGAAAAGTGTCGCCTCAAAGGGTTAAACAATCTGTGAGTTTGTCTATTAAATTCATCATACCCGTATTTTATTTACCTTCAGGCTGCTCGCTTAATTTAACTTCAATTTCCGCTTGCTGCTGGTTTCTTTTTTCTATCCCATTTTAATTTTTTTTTTTTTTGCGTTTTTGTGAAATGTTCCTTGCTCAACTTTATGCTTATGGTAATGAGTTTTAATTAGGCGCACAGCAAAGCGAGAGCAGCGGCAGAGTCCGAACTGAGCCGACGGCCGCATCGCACTACACCACACCACCGTACACCACCCACCGGGCAACCATCCACCCGGACGGAAAATGGGCCTGCAAATAAGTACACACGGGGTTGAGGTTGGGCTTTCGGGCTTTTACTTTGGTTTTCGGGCATGGACTTTGCTAGTGGGCTTTTTATTAAGTGCAAAAAAAAAAACGAGTGTTTTTAATGCGTAAGTAAATCTGAAAACTTAAATTATTGAAGTGTGTGAGTGTTGCACCAACAGCTAGGCTGCCTTTGAGTGGTACAATTTATTGGACTGCTACACAGAATTGGGTCATGCACCGCAGGAACAAAAAT